TAGATATAATGGCAAATCAAGTGCATCCTGTATTGTTGCATTTTTACCCTGATGGCGAACGGATACTTCATGGACAATAATGCGACTATACATCGTGCCGGAAGTGTTCAAAAGTGGTTTGCTGAACTTCAGTCTGACTTCCAACACCTTCCTTGTCCACCGCATAGCCCGGATCTTAACCCAAAGAAAATGTGTGGGATATGGTGGAAATACACATCCGACAGCACTCTCCTCTTAAATCTAATTTACAAGATCTAAAAAAGCTGCATAGCTAATGCATGGTATTCCCTGGACGTAAATGCCCTCCAGAAGCATGTAGACTCGACGCCTAACTAACCAGTGTAGATATCCGTGCAAAAGGTGGTCAAATAAAATATTGATCTTGGGTTTCTAATTCAATGGCCAGTGTGTGTAAGTTATATAGAAAAAATAAAAGATTTTATTCAAAATATAACTGCTGATACAAAATGTGTGTGACACATCATTCATCAAGAACTTTATATGAACTGAGTGTCGGAAGAGTGGTTCCCCAGAAACTTTAGCATAAATAAATACGAAAGAAAAAAGGAAATGTTAACTTAGGCTGATTTTGTGACAAAAAGCTTCATTAACAACGAGGCATATCATCCCAATCTGATACACAAACTGCGAATTGGTGTGGATAAAGAAAGGCTAGGAATAACTCAAAAAAAGGTTATCCAGCACTTCTCACCGTGCATCAGTTTCATAAGTTGCTTTGTTGATTGATGACTTTGATGTCAAAGAATTGGGTAAAATTTCAGTATACTGAAATTGAGGAGCAAAACTCTAGTTTGATCATTTATAGAAAAAATAATCATATATTACACATGAAACATATATTATACAGTTTAGTGGCAAAAGCAAACTTAAAAAGTCATGGAAAGGTCTGTGAAAAATTGCTTATTTATTGTTCCAACCACGGAACTGCACAATAAATAAGCAATTTTTATTCATACAAATAAGGCATCCTGTCAGATGCTGCATTATGAATTTAATTCAAAACATGTTTCAATTTTTAAAGCTTCTATTTTGAACATTATATTGTGTAAATAAAGGAGTATCCAAATGCTATTCAAAATACCGTTCAAATAGAATCTGGTTGGAAACAACAAACTCGGTAAGATAATTGAAATAGGCAATCATATAAATCATACCATATTGCTTCCCTTTTTTAACAAAGCAAAATATAGGGTAGACATCTAATGGAAACAAATCTTTATGTTTTAAATAATTTAAAAATTGAACATCCAGACAACTGCTATACATGCAGACAGTTTTTCACAGCTAAACACCTTTTTTATGCAGCTATACTTAGTTAATGCGAAAGTGTTTTAGCTAAAATTTCATAAATGTTGGGTATTAATTATTCAAACGTCGAGTCAATTAAAAGTTATTATGTTAAGAAATTAAAATATTATTGGGATATCCGTATTCAAGTTCTCGATTTCGTACACTAATAAATATTATTTTATAATTTGTTTCTATTCTAGCATTTTTGTAATTTGAACATAAATGAGGTATATTAAGCCGCGTGGATTGGCAAGAAATTCAAATTTTATATCCCATTACTTTGCGAAACTGAAATAACAACGCATATGTAAGCCTTTCAGACGCTCAGTAGAGTTTCTATGTTACTGTCTATGTAATTATTATTGTATAATTATTTTACCAGATTATGAGCGCTATTGAAATGTTTGTCCTTTGTCACCAAATAGGCTGAAAGGGAATTATTAAACCACCTTCCTTGTCAGGCAAGGATGAAAATAGCCGCTCCTGCTCCTAAATTTAATTTATTCTCGCTGTCGGCTCTAACACCGGGAGCTTAATCAACACGCCACTGGTTGTTAAGGTCCTAAAAAGCAGTCGCGCGTTATTTTCCGCCTTATTAAGGGAAAATATTGCCGAAAGGGAAATAAATTTTATTTAAGCGTTTTGCCTTGTGGCTGGTTGTTTATGCAAGGCCTCAGAATTAGTCTGAAAGAGTAATATTTTTAGAAGCCTATCTTCTTAATACATTTCCCGTGATCTATGTTGAAAATAATACTGTTGCTGTTGCATGTGAAAAAAGACAGTTCCCACTAATAATGCAAAAATAAATAAATAAGTACATAAATAACGTTATTTACAGTCAAAATTAAAGCTTTTGTGTAGCCAAAAACATAAACTAAACAAAGGAACATATAAAATACATACATGGAGGTAACGAGTTGTAAAACAATTATGGAAAGTCGTGTCAAATATATTTGAGAGCATGTGTGATACGTTCAAAGGCATCAATCCTGAAAACTCCTTTATGAAATCTAATATATTTTCAGCATATCTCTGCCTTTAGTGTACAGGTATAGGCAGAAACAAGGCCTGCACCTGCGCATTCATCTAGGCATATTAGGCCGAGCCTTGCTAAGTGCTAAGCTTTCAGGTGAAATTCCAATGGAAAACACCCTACGCTTTCCTATTCCCTAACCCTAACCTTTCGAAAGGATTTCCGCTCGCCATGTATTTGGAGTACCTCCTCCCTGCACAGGAACCATGCCTTATTTGAGATACGAGCTCGAACCCTTCGATACGGAAGTCAGCGTCACTAACCACTATCCCGTCTGGGCGGTGATCTTTACCGCAGTAGATGTCATTGAAATAAATTTTCTCTACTAAGTTAAGTTTATGTTTTCAGCTTCAATCTAGAACTTTATTCATCATTTTAGGGTTTGTATGCATAAGAGTGTGTATTGCTATATGTACGCATTACTGTAGTGGGGATGTACTTTGGTATGTAAGTATTTTGATATAGGAGAATGTTTTATAGGAAACTCTAACTAAAGTACTCAATGTAATTGTATTCTGGTTTATTGCATTTATGTATTGCTATCTTGCATGCTCGTGACGTATTATTGTGTTGTACATATTGCTGTAGTAAGTATGTAGTACAGTGAGTATGTAGGTTGGTACGTACCTACGTTTTAATGCATTATAGCACTACTTTAACTAGTAATTTAGCTAAATCTGAACCTAAGGATTGAATGTACCTGCATTGCTGCACTAGTGTACGTATGAATGTGTCTTTGCACTGCTTTCTTGTATTTTCCTGACTATATCATATGCAACTGTTTAATTGCATTATATGCACATAGGTATTATTGTAACTGCTACGGATTTTTTATTTATTTAGCTATTTTTAATTAAAATTGTTTTATATCCCCATGCAATGCAGCACGAAAGAGAAAGGTTAAAATACAAGAGCACGCGCATTTAAAATTTAAATAAATAAATGTCTCGTAATTGTAGTCTTTTGCTTTCCAGAAACCTCGAGAAAATAAAAATTGCTAGAATGTTCTCGTGCACGATTAAAAAGCTTTAAAAAGCCGGTTTAAAACATTTCAGTTCAGTTGTTTACTTAGTTCTTGTTGATTGTATCGAATTTGATTGTTGTGAGATCGGAGTAGCTTTCTCTGCTTTTAACGTTTTAGATAGTTTAAAATATAATTACTGCAAGATATTGCGATATTGTAAGAATATCTCTGACGAAATTCCAGCATTTTGTTTTATTTCTTGGGATACGAATAAATTTTATTAACTTTTTACCGACTTATGCATTCAATCCATTACGAACCCGTACGCACTCAACACGTTTAGGTATCAGGAGTGGGGTATTGAATGCCAATAACAAGAGCAGTTGAGACAGCTGATGACAGGCTTTGCTACATTTAAAGAAGATCTGAAAGATTCCGTTAAAGGGAAGATGAAAGCAGTCAAAGCAATGATGGATGCTGGTCAAAAAGAGATGAAATTGTGCTAAGAATCCGTTAAAGCAGAGATGAAACCGAATCAAAGAAAGATGGAAGCTAGTCAAGAAAGGATTGAAGCAAGTCAAAAAGAAAGGAAAAGAGAAATTACTTCCATAATAGAAAACAAATTTGAGGCTATGGAAAACAGAATGGAAGTGGTTGAAAATAAAGTTGAACAAACTGAAGAGAAAGTGTCTTCTATCAAGGAACAAATAGAAGAGAGAGCCTCTGTTGAACAACAAATAGATTTCAGGGGGTTTCTTCTGTGAAAGAACAAATAGGCGATAGAGTTTCTGCCGTGGAACTACAAACTGATGATAGGGTTACTGCGGTCGCCAAAGAAATTAATACCTTGAAGAAGCTCGGTAGCGACGGCAGGGAGCAATATTGATGTTTTAAAATTTTTATCCATGCCTGCTGGTCCCTCTCTAAAGTTACCCACGCATGATGGGAAGAGCTCCTGGAAAGTGTATAAGACCCAGTTTTTCATTAGTGGAGGAAGCGAATGGATGGGATTCTCAATTCCAGCTGTCAAAGGCCTGTCATCTCGCCGCTTTTCTGAGAATTGCAGCTGCGCTTTGGGGAGAAATATTTGAAAGACTACAGCAGGATTTAATTAAAATCCCATCAACAGAAGCCCGCCGAAACACTCCAGGAGCTCGCCATGGGTGTTGAAAGGCTAACCCACCTCGCTTTTTGGGAGTGCCCGACAGAAACAAGAGAAATCCTGTCCCTGCAATACTTCATCGAAGGCATCCGGGATCCTGAAATACAGAAAGCTCTGCGAATTGTGGATATGAAGGACTTGAAAAGTGCTCTAGCGCATGCCATGAAATTCGAAGCAGCCCAGCAAGCCACTCGTAGAGGTCGCTACCCAGTGAGAGCTGTGCGAGTGCACGAACCAGTGAATCAATTGATGGCTGGTTTAGATGATTTATCCAGACAAGTCAATGATTTGATACCGAATAGGAATGAAAGATAAACTGGCTCTGAAGTGCTGGAAATGTGTTACTGAAGGCCACATATAAAACAGACGATTTGAAAAGATCTGTTAGTGCATTGAGACGGAATAGGTGGGAAAAGAATCCAATCCTAAACTGCTGGAACTGCGGTGTGGAAGGGCACATACAAAGGAACTGCAGAACACCCCAGAGCACGGAAAATAAGACAAACTATTTAAACAGACAATTAAATGCCATGAGACGGGAAAAAAGTGACAAGAAACCGAAGTGCTGGAATTGCGGAGATGAAGGCCACATAAGAAGAAACTGCAGAACACCCCAGCGCAGGGAAAATAAGGCCATTTCCCAGCAACGACGCAGGAAACAAATTAATGATCATATCGTGGAGCGGAGTTTGAAAGATGGTGAAAAACCCCGTTTTAAAACGCTCAAGATTTCTGCAGTTAGTGGCAGCTGTAATGGACTATCCATGAATGGGCATATCGATGGAGTTCCTAGCAATATGATCATTGACATGGGAGCTATTGTTAATATCATTCGGAAATATTTAGCTCAACAATTTAAAGATAAACTCATTTGTACGCCCTCTTGTGTTACCTTCCAGACTGCGTTGGGTGATAAAATCGACATGGATAGGAAGTTAAATGTGAGCATCATGTTTGGAAGTGCTACCTACTGTCACATGGCATACGTGGCAGATATTACAGATCCTTCCATATTCGGATTTCGACTTTTTAAGGCAATACAATTTTTCCTTGGACTGTAAAAACAACAGACTGCTTTCAGTATCAGAGGAGACAACTATCCATAATCAGAAGGGATCCTCACCTGGAAATGCCGACGCCTTGTCTGAAAGACTCTGCTGAGATAGCTGCGGGAATAATACTAGAGTCGAAGAGAAACACGAGACTACCGGCTATTCTACATCCCAGACGCTCATCGGTCGTGACCTTCTTCTGCCTTGTTATCTTTTGTTTGGTCGCGCCTTCATCGCCTGAGGAAGACATTCAAAATCTCCATGCCCAGTTTGAAGTGATGCACAGCTTTGCACAGGAGCGAGTCAGATTGGCGACGGAGAAGATGAAGACCTGATACGACACCAGAGCTACTGGACATTGATTCAACGAAGGAGACAAGGTGTGGTTGTGCAATCCGACTCGACGGTAAGGATTCTGTCCGAAATTACAATAATCTTGGGATGGTCCGTACACAGTCCTAAACAGGCTGAACGACGCGGTGGTTCGTATCCGTACGTCATCGCACTCTAAGTCTAAAGTCGTTCATTAGGACAAGTTAGCTCATGACTATGGCCATAGCACGTAGTGTATATAATTGTAAACAGTATAAGACTATGGTCCTTTTTTTTTTCTAAATTTGTATTTGATTTGATTTGTATTTAGTATTTGATTTGTATTTAGTATTTGATACTATTTGATTTGTGCTTAGTATTTAATTTTTTTAAGTTACTTATTGAAATTATTGTTTATATTGTTTGTTATTGTAATGTTATGTTGTTATTGCTTTGACGCCTTAGTTGTAAGTTTGGCTCCCTATCCAGGGATTGTACTGCCCGGGACGTGCAGTCCTCGGGAAGGAGGCAGTGTTACGGATTTTGTATTTATTCAGCTATTTGTAATTAAAATTCTTTTACATTCCGGTGCAATGAAGCACGAGATTTATTTGAAGAGAAAGTCGGAAAAGTTAAAATATAAGAGCATGCACATTTAATATTTAACAAATAGATATCTTGTAATTGTAATCATCTGCTTTCTAGAAACTTCGAGAAGATAAAAATTGCTAGAATGTTCTCGTGAACGATTAAAAAGCTTTAAAAAGCCGGATTAAAACATCTCAGTTCAATTGTTTACTTCGTTCTTGTTGTTGATTGTAGCGAATGCGCGGTGAGATCGGATTAGCTTTTCTGCTTTGAGTTGTATTCTTTTAACTTTTAGTAGTTTAAAATATAACTACTGTGAGATATTGTGATATTGTACGAATATTTCTGGGGAAATTTCAGCATTTTGTTTTATTTCTTAGGATAAGAATAAATTTTATTAACTTTTTTACCGACTTGTGTATTCAAGCCATTATGAACCTGTACGCATGCAACAATACTATTATTGAAAGATGGACAATATTATAGTACAGTATAGTATAATAGTGTATATGTATGCATTGTCGTATGTGCTCCTGAATGTATCTATAAAGCACTGCATGTGAATTGTATAGAACGTATGATTGTAAAACTATTGTACTGTATGCAGAGCCTTGATCAGCGTCTTAACCTTTTCAGTCAGAATAGTGATTATTGAATCCAAAGGTTACTATTCACTAGCTCATATATTTAAAAATATACTCAATTCTGCGTATTCGTACAAGTATGCTATGTTGCCATATAACCGGCATCTTTAAAGAGTTAGTAACATGTGCAATGAGGACATTTGACGGTAACTGGCATATTGTTAAATAGTGAAAATGTATATAGAGATATAGTTTCTTTTTTTTTTCTTCCTAATGATGAAGAGCCATACAAATGTAACAGAATAATGGAAATGATGTAAACCATCTCAATGTGACAATGTCACCTTTGTTTTGAAATGTGAATAAATGGCATCTACGGGGATGGTGGCATACCGAAAGGCTTATCTCAAGCCAGGCCAGTAGTCATTCCTAGCAGTGAAAACTTCATCCATCATTGACCAAATGGCCATGACTGCAGAAACACCAATTGTTTAATTCGGGTGTCAGTCTAGGTGAATGGGGTATCTGAATGGACGTTTTCCTTGTTTTTCTAACTGTAATATGAATACAAGATAGTTTCTCCCAGAAAGACCTCCACGAAGGTGTCCCTTTAGGAAGATAAATGTCGTGTACATAATAAAATAAACAACAACGACAAACTACTGTTTTGAAGAGACAAAAAATGAATGATAAATGCTAAGCGGATTTCTTTGAAGACCTTTTCCATCTGCTAAGTAGGTAATCTATGTTGACCACCGTTATAATCTTTTAAAATTCCTATTTATCCTGCCATCGGAATCATACAAGTACTGAATAAGAGAAGGAACACCACAACGAATTAGCATACTTCCAAACTTGGCCATAATTAACTAATTATTTGTTGGACATTTCAGAACCTCTCAGTGTAAGGCAGGATCGTCCTCCTTCGTGGAATGTACCTGAACTGATGACACTGCGAATATGTTAGATTACCACTGGAATCGGCTCATTAGTTCAAAATATTCGCCAGTCTAGGCCTACTTTTTTGCTTAATTTCATTTTTTACCTTGGCTCGCTTAAAGCCAAAGTAAATTGAAATATAATTAAATAAAATTAAAATTAAAAAATTAAATATTGTACCTTGAGGAGAAAAGAGGTTTATGTGTATTCTTTGAAGATAAAAGATATGATATGCATGATAAGCTGTTTTAATATTTTTTTAATCCTTTGTGCTGCAACGTTTAATGTTTCTGTCAACTGAAAATCCCCCTCCTTTTTTTCGTACCATTTGGGTTGTTAAACTTGAAATGGCATATTCTACATGCAATAATTACATGTAAATACTAATTATAAAACTAACTTATAAATGTTCTGCGCTATGTGCATAATATTTAGTTTAGAAACACATGTTTTATTAATTGCAATAACGCTGCAAACGTTCTAAAAGCTATCTGTTGGTATATATTGTTTCAAATTCAAATAAAAAATATTAAAATTTGTATCATTTAGATGTATTATTAAAAATTAAAGGAAGATTTAATTATTAAGAAATTCGTCTATTGAATTGTTCTGTCTGTTATTCAGATAATTTATTTAATTTAATCTGTTTTTTAATCAAACACAGCTTGGTTTAATTTTATAAGCTAATTAAAGATCTTACCTTTAGCCAAATAATGACATTATGATATGTGTTATGGATGCAATCGCATGGAAAATAAATTAAAGATCTTATGCTTTATTCAGCGGTAACACACGCCAAATCACTTTTCATGATAAACGTAATATTACTGCCCAAAATGTTTGGAAAGTCTTCACTAAATGAGATTTAGATGTCAGCATTATTCATTCGTTTGAGTCTACATCAGTATTAAAATTGTTCCGTAAGAAAAATTCTTTCCCTTTTCATTATAATTGCGAAGCTTATCGATACGCTTCAGAATAATGTACATAACAATGCACAAAGAAATATTTTCACAGAATACTGCTGCGGCCATTTCTTATCTAAAATGCCTATTAAATTATAAAAGTCACTCGGATTGACTTATATGATGATGCTTGGTTTAGTTTATTTCATTACGGGAAAGCACTCGAAGGCTATCTGATTAAAGATAGGGCTGTCGTGGTGGAGGATTTTCTAAGGAAAGTTGGCTCGTAACACGTTACACACGTGAAAACAATGAAAACGCTTATGCAGCCAGCTCGTTCGCCCGGATTCGAACTCCGGATCGAACTGTCAGCGTTCAGAGACTTTACCGCTCGGCCATTGGGGGACTATATGCTGATGCATCTAATACAGTTATAAGCTGCTGGGCGGCAAATTCCAACATTTAACAACTTTTATTTAAAACCACTTTCATTGAGATAAGATATTTACGCTTTACTGATCTTTACATATTAAGAAGTATTTTAATTTTTAGTAGGTACCAAAAAAAAAAAAAAAAAAAAAAAAAAAAAAAAAAAATTAGCATATTCAAAGTAGATTTAAAGTGGGAGTTTTGTCCCTCCTAGTGAAAAGGATTAAAAATTTTGCAGCAATTGTAAAATGGAGATAGTTACTAAAATAATCTTTTAAGGGAAAAATCATCTCATATATGGCCCATATATCTTTTCCTACAGCAAAGGAAAGACTTTTGATGAAAATTGTCATTATCATTAAAATAATTGTTGCATACACCTCGTCAGATGCAATGTTTCTTATAACTTCTGAAGAGAGAATGACGTTCTTGATGCACCTGTTTGGTAGCAATAAGAGCATTCTTTGGAGTACAAGAATAATATCAAAATGATGTTACAGCCCATTTCAATGAAATGATCTTATTGGGGAGGGATAATCTGAAATTCTGATGATTTACATGCATTGGGTTTCTTTTGTTTTAACTGAAGATATAAGAAGACTATCTCTCGACTACAGTACTACTGTTTGAGGTTATTAGTAAAGATAAAATATCGCAAGAAACAAAACGTTCTACATAAACAAACCATTTTGTATTCTGTTTATGCGATTCTGAATCGCATCCAGGTATTCTGGATAAACCGAAAATTATTCTAAATTTAGATTATTTTCTTACGCTATTGCTACAATAAACAAACAAATTTTGGAAAGTTGCAGAATTTCTTGGAGTTTATTTATCTCAGGGACTTTATTTCGGTTTGGCTCACAAAACAGCTTTTGTGTGCAAATGAACAAAACATAATTTTGGGGGTATGTTTGGGGAGGGAAGTAAAAATAAATTTCATCCTTAATTTTCACAGAAGTACTTTTACTATGTAAAAAAAATTCTGCAGCTTCTGTGAATTTAGTATGAATATAGTATACATGAATATTAACAAGTTATTAATGTTTTATACGCTTTTACTTTAAAAACGAAAAGGATTAAAAAAATTAATTAAATACTCTAGAAAGTCAGTTGTTTGCAGTATTTTAACAAAATGTGTTACATATGTCATCATACAGCACTGTGTGAATACATATCTACGATCATTCATCGTTAATAACTACATCATGCTACAGACAGAAAGAACATTTTGGTAATCAAAACTAGATAA